TCGTTAATACAGTTCTCACGGAAACATACGTAGATATCTTCACTTTTACTCTGTTGGTAACTTCTTTTGAAAAATTAGAATGTTGACTAGTTAACTTCAGGGACAGAGGACGTTTGTGCCGATGATGACCGTCCTCAAAGGTGGGGTTATTGGTGGCTCCCTACGCCAGTAACCAGGCTGGATGTCGATGGATTCGACGATGTCGTCAGTGCGATAATGGATGTGTCATTTAAGAAAGTCATATTGAGAGGACTGGCACTCCCCCAGTAAAAAAAATTATTGTGTTTTCATTAAAGAACAAGTGAATGAAAAACCTCGGGGTGGCAGTAAAATGGCCATATAAATTAATGAAGGAGAAACTAACTTCGGGGTGTCGGTTTTTCGTGATGATGTGTACGCGCATAGTGAAATTTTACTAATTTTTCCTTAACGCGCCAAATGAAGTGCACATATCCAGAACTTTCTTTTACTTCTACTCGGAATTTACCTTTTCCCTTTCGGTATGTATTCTGAACTCATGGAATAGGCCTTTTCATAATAAGACGAGCGCAAGCGTAGCCGTCATATTGAAATGGCGGTAATTCAAAACATTCGTACTGTTTTAATCAANTACAGTTTTTTTCGATGAAAACGGAGAACTTAGCGATTATTCCGGAGCACCGATATATTTGGATGGCAGCGTTCCACAAGGTAACATATTTTTGGTCATATATTCATCAATAATTTTTTCCCAATTAACAACAAGGTCGTTTTCTGCTTTCAGTAAAACTTTCTTCGTGGTTTATTTCATGAACAATTTTCAACTTTGAATTTTTTTTGGTGTGATACATGGCGAAACAATTTTTGTATCGAAAACAACCAGAACGTGTGGAGAACAAACCGGTCATCTAAAATCTGACAAGCGTTAAATGGTTGAACCGTTATTCAAAAAAGTAGTGAAAAACTTTAAAAAAATTACAGAGCAAATAAACTCATACCGACCATAATTGTCATAATAAAACTCAAGTTGTTTTGACTGAAAAACAAAGTATATCGAATGAATTTAGATTTAAAGAGCGGATTTTTGTACACCATGCCATTGTCGACTCAACAAATCGCTTATATAACATTACAATTTACATTTTCACCGATCTAGCTTATGCAAGAAGATTTGGTTTCAGAGTGTCACTATCAAAATCAAAGAAATCATTTTCAACGGGCAAAATCCCGCAACTTCGTAATCGAGCCAATAGTAACTGAATGTTGTGCATGAAAAGAGACTGTCTTTGGTCCTAAACAAATCAAGGCTATTTTCCGGGTTTTCTGACCGTGGTCTGCAGGATTTAATAGTGACGTTTCGTCTACTGCTGCGGTAGACCTTTTCAAAGGCGATGTGGTAACGGTCGCAATACCCGAGCTGGTGCTCTGGTTCTTGTTCGTGTTGTACCCAACGCATTAACTACTATTTCCATACCGGGCCCTCTATTTATATTGTATCACCTTTTCGTGTTCGTGTAGCTCGAAGGACAGGTAGCCAGTTTTTAATAATATCCTTATAACACTTTTCAAGCCATTGCTTCGCATCAATGAACATTGTAGAATGAATACACAAAATCATTTTTTTATGCTTTATTCCAAAAATAATAAAAGTAGTGTCACTCTTAGTACAATAACTAACAAACTCATGAGCTGAATAACATGAGATTTCAGCAGCTTTCTTTTGAACGTTAGTACTAACTGAAAAAGTAGTGAATGCGATAAGACTAATGCCGATTTTTTGAAGGTGTTATTAGTTCAGGCTTCCATTGTCTGATATTATATAAAATGATTTGAAATCCCTGAAAGAAGTGAAAAAAGAGGAAAAAAGATGACTATTCATAGGTCATTCGAGTACTTTCACTTATCTTCGCTTTACTTTTTCCGCTTCACCGGTTTAGTGGGAGATAATCGTTTGGCGGGCATTGACCATTTTCCCCTTGATAATGGGTTTCCATATGTTGCGTATCTCTACGCTAGCTTGGCTGAATACATTGTTAGACAACATGTATGCAACTTCTTTGGATTTTCTCCTGAACCAATGTTCCTCCCTGTGTATGATCTCGGCTTGGGACCACTCGATGTTATGTCGATGGGTCCAAACATGCTCTGCTATTTCTTATTTGCTGGTTTCCCCTCGCTGTGTGTGTTTCTTGTCTTCGGCAATGAGAACATTCAATGGCCTCTTAAATTCACCGATATAGGATTTTCCGCACTCATAGGGTACCCGGTAAATGCAATTCTTGGAATCGCAGTCCGCGTTTGGTGGCCTGGTTTTCGTGAGGCTGCTACGGCTAGTGTTTCCAGATCTGAAGCAGGTTCTGATGTTGTATTTGGATCCAATTCTCCTAATCCTCTGATATAGGGAAGTAAAAGCACTGGTTGTGACGGCTTCTCTCCCTTGTGAGGCTCCTGCTGTCTTCTAGCCAAAGTATGTCCAACCATCGCTCTGGAGTAGTCATTCTCTTGAAAATCAGATCATTTTTGATGATGTCTAGTTCCTTCTCGAGACCTTTCTTCGTTTTACAGAGCCCGAAAACATGGTCTAATAAAGTCTTGATGATTCTTCTTTTAGTCGATTGATGGTGGTTGGATTCGTGATTCAAATACTGTCCCGTGTGAATGGGTTTTTGGTATACAGATGTTTACCTCTAAGTGTCAGTCCTCTTCACCAAAATGTATCAGAATGGCAATTCGTTGGGGACTTCCTTCTCCATTGTGGATGTGATGGAAGGTCTTAAGCTGTTGATGTGTTTCAGGAAGGTGTGTAGTTCAGTATTCCCATGGTTCCATATCATGAAGGTGTCATCTACGGATCTCAACCAGAGACGAGGTTTCTTGTGGGCTTCTTCGATGACCAGAGTTTCAAATCACTCAATTGGCTCCATTGGCCGTCCCTCATATCGTGGAAAGAATTCTTCTTTCAGTTGGGAACAACAGTTTCGTATAGAGCAGCCCAGTAATTCCATAATCACTTATATAGGTTAATTCCTTCTAACTTCCAGGTCCCCGTCTTCGGATAGCTTCCTCTGTATGATTTGGAATTATTTCCACGTCGAAACCTTTACACCAACGTTCCGGTCGAAAAAATGTATATCTTCATTCGGTGAAATATTGAAATTCATTTTCATATTGCCAATTCATTGAAAATTCATTATTGGAACTCGTGCAGAAAGCAGTCAAATAAACAATAACAATTCATCTCAACCTCTCTCTACGTTATATTTTCATTAAATATGTTTTCAGCATGTTTGTTCAGTTAATGGAACAAAAGGCGTGTTTTGTTGTGATATATAATGCACCAGTTACTTTCAGATTATACACGAATACTTTTTTATACTTTCTTTGTTTCAAAGTCTGCCGTGAAAATGTTTGTGTCATTCATTCTATACATAGTTGATGATATACAGAGCATTCTTGTTTGGCAGAACAGCTTTTCATACATTCATGTAATCCCATTCGACATTATCTACACTATCATGTCTATACATCAGAGTATAATACATGCCATTATTGCGGATTTGGGATTATCCTACCATCAATCCCGCTTGTCAGTAACGATGAAGTATTATTTATGTAGGTGATGGAAGAATGTGATGAATTTCAGTGAGAGATAATTACTCTTCTTGACATTATAAATATACACCTAACTCTATGAGTACTTTCAGGTATATTCTATCCATTTTTCATTTATTTTCATCATAATAATGAAGTAACAAATAAAAACCTATGAACAAGAATGTCTTTTCCAATGATATTACGCATAATTTCTGAAATATTATTTGACCATGTAAAATCTGTTTAAAATCTGTTTTTCCGTTAATCAGCTGCCGATATACAAACGATATGCAAACGATATACGAGGTCTGTTCAAAAGTAAGGTGAATTTTCTTTTTTCTCAAGATATATTTATCCAGCCATCAATTTATATTTCGCACCCTTTGAAGTAGCCCCCTTCAGATATAATACGTTTGGGTCAGCGTTTTCTCCAATCCGTGAATTCGTTCTGATATGCACTTCTTGTATGTCCTTTAGCTCTCTCAGTGATTCGGTTTTAAACTCCTCAATCGTAAAAAAACACCATCTTTCATACGTCTACTCAATTTTGGGTATAGTAAACATTCATAGGGGAATAAATCTGGTGAACACGGGGGCATGATTAAGGTGTTGGGCTTTTCCATTGGGACGGTTGGAATTTGGTTTCGATGTCATAACCATATACCCATGATTCGACTTCAGTTATGACCCTTTTGAACAAATTTGGATTGCCGTTGACGTCATTGAACAATTCTTGAGCGATGCTCATGCAACGGTTTTTTTTGTCAGCACTTCACAAACGATTTCCGCTGCCACACGCTTCTTGCCCAAAATTTTCGAAAAAATTGGATTGCTTGTGTCAACCAATATGCCGACACCCACAGCAACTTCTCGACTAAGGATTTGATGATTCTCCATAACAATTTTCTTCACTTTTTCGAAATTTTCATGAAAAGTTTGTACCACTTATAAACATTTTTCTGACTCAGAGTACAATTACCGTATGCCACTGTCAACATTTGAAGTGTTCTTTGGGAACTCAAATCATAATTGCACCTTACATCACATACAATCCAAATCAATATCTAGGAGTTGACAACATTAAAACTATCGCGCGAGAAAATAAATTCAATCGGCCTGACAAACCAATGCGATAAAACCGTATTTTTGTTATTTATTGTCTTTGAGTAGATAGGTACTCAAAATTGAAATTGATGGTTTCGGAAATGACTGTCATAATGATCTCCTGAGGATGCTACCTTGGTTAGCAAAACACGCGTCGAGAGACCGTAATTTTGTTCTGGTGTTGGGAAAGTGTTTTCAATAGATTCACTTCACCCTAGAGGTTCCAGCCAACCGCACATTTGTGGTTTCAGTTGATAGATCTTGTGTTTACAAGGGGTTTTTTGAAACCCCTCGGTCGAGGACTTTTTCAATTTATTTTCTTACATTTGAGCTACAATGGAAATTGTTTGTAGTATCATATAAGGTTATTATAAAACTACCACTAACAAACAATTTCCATTTATGGAAAAAATCGTTTTTTTTTCAATGAGGTATTTATTCTGATCACTTGTAGCTAGCTCAGTTATGAACAATTTGTATTCTTTTTTCAGGTTGCGAGATTTCTCATTTTCGTGACTTGCGAAGTCATATCCATTTTTTAATATTTCATTCACTTCTATACTCTTAAGCCTGGAATTTTTTATTACGTTTCGTTTTTTCCGTGGGTTTGAGAATAATTGACTACACCTTACAATTACACTCAACTTTTTTTCACTGCTACATAATCAATGCAACACAAAACTGAACTTCAGACTAATTGTCTAATAAGCTCACTTTGTACCCCATTCTCAACTAGACTAGCCCCATCTGCCTGCTAGCAGTGCTTATATATCTCAATGGAAGTCTTCGGAGGCCAATAGGAATATTCACGAATCGACGCAACACCTAGAACGATCTAGAAGCGCACGTAGAGTTGAGCGCGACCTTGGCCTAGTCACAGTCGATTGTCGAAGACCAGCGGCGGCGGGTGTTATTTTTCCGGGGGATAATTTACAAAAAAATATTCAGATGATAGTAAACCAAACCTCTAATATTCAGAATAAAGAAGCTTATTCTTTGCACATGTATTATTAATCGCATGAAATATTATGAATTCCGTTACTTCAATGACTAAAACTATTTTTTTTATCTCCTAATTGCTTTGTGTTTCTCTTTTCCAGATGAAGAAATCAACAAAGAATTGCTTCCTTGGAAAAAGATGGTAGATGAGCTAGGTGATAGGGTTGTCGGTTCAAGTTTAGTTGATTTGAGTAATGTAGACTGCGACCGGAAAGAATGTACACTGGGTAACTTCATAACCGATGCTACTGTATATTCAGTAGGTATATTTTCTAGTATTCTAGTATTCGAGTATTTCAGGTATGGAAATGTATTTTCGATGCCCACTCTCCCCATGTAACAAGCCGTAACCTGTTAATTCCATAGACGACATCACCGTAATGGGATATATTTATTCCTATTTAAAGTCAGGCTTGTTCTTCTTAACAGTTAAATTCACAAATACTCTTGTGAATTAGCCTGTTTAAAATCTTTTTTTTTTTCGTTAACCAGCTGTCGCACCCCTAGGAACAACTTTCGAAAGTCGAAACTTGTGCCAGCGAGGTCTTTCTTTTCAACGTGTGATTCCTAGCACGGGTTGGACGATAGAAAGTGAAAATCGATCGTACGGCCTCGCGGTTGGAACCACCGGTTTACACAGCGGTCGATTGAGTGAGTGGAGCAAACCACCCACGTCAACCCACCCCACCTACTTACTGAATGAAATACCAACGGAAGCTTTTAATATTTTGCGGAGCAGATTATAAGTTTGTTCTCATTAATGGAAAAAACATACAGTCATCATTATAATTTCCGAATGATTCACAATTCCAATTATTGAACACTGATATTGAAAGGCTATGCTATGAGCCGCAGTCAAAATATTATACAAGTAATATTGCTCGATAATGTGGTTCATCCTTGAGCCTGTAATATTTCATTCTTGAAATTGGTAAATGGACTTACCTTTCACATAATACCTGGTAGTATACCTATACGTATACCTTACCACACAAATTATCATTTCAGTTCACCAAATCGCCTCCACCTGGTGCTTGGACTGAAGTAGCATTGTCTGTAATAAATGCTGGTGGACTTCGGACCAGCATAGGCATTGGCAGTGAGTAACAATAAACCAATTCGTGAAAATTATCGAAAATATATTTAATTATCTTCAGATATTACTTATAGTGATGTAACAATTTCGCAACCTTTTTTAAATACGTTGGATATGGGAGAAATTGAAGGAAGGTATCTCAAAGAACTACTCGAATTCAGCAGCGAAGATCTCATTCAGGTGTCTGGTGAGTATTCCTGTAATTGATAGATAATTCTGAGTTGAAATATCGATCAGATATATATCTTTCATGTTCAATACAGTATTTAGTTTCAATATAATATAGTATTTTTCAAAGGCATCGATTTCAAGTGTTTTGTACATCAAATAATACAGTGCATTTCTTTAATGTCCCCCTCCCCTTTGATTTTTTGAACGGGTCAACTCAAAAAATTGAAATTTGGGATAATGAAATTAATGCATGAATACTTTATTTTGAAGTGAAGTTGACAGATGAAACTTTCAAGATGGTGACTGGGCGCGATCTGGGAAAAAATTAAATGCTAAGAGGGGTCTTGTGACACATCTTTTTGAAGCTCATGACAAATGCTTCACGACACTAGAATATAATGTCTATATCTTCAACTACTACAAAATGGCGGAACTTTTAATAATTGCCTGAATACATTGACATTCAACTACATAATATAAGGTAATAAGCTTGAGGTCAGTTCAGAAGATGCTCGAAATTATTTCCTTGAACTTCTTAACATATGAACAGCCTAACCAATATTTCACGTCGAAAATTTTCGAACACACTAACATCAATATATCTACAAATATGTATTATTCTTTGCCGTATATCCAATATTGAAGCAGGTTCGGTTTCGTACACCTATTGCTTCATATACCCCATAAAAGAGTCTAAAGGTGTCAAATCTAGCGAGCGGGCTGGCCAGTTTGTATGACCTCGACGGCCAGTCCAACGACCGGGAAAAGTAGTAAACAGTTCCTCACTTGTCTGGAGTAATGTGGTGATGCTCCATCTTGTTGGAATACAATATCCATATCGAATTCATCAGGATTCGCTTCGACGATTTCAGTGATGAGAGGGTCAACAGTAGTATCCAGCATATTCAAATACAGTTCCCCTGTTAAATTTTGATCAATAAATAGAGGCCCTACAATATGGTTTCCCAATATTCCTGCCCAAACATTAATTTTTTCTGGATATTGGATATGTGTCTCCCGGAAAACATGGGGGTCGGTGTCACTCCAATATCGGCAATTTTGTCTGTGAACATTGCCTTTTGAATAAAAATGTACATTTGTCACTAAAACAAATATTGTGGAGATAGGTAGGATACCTTGCAATGGTTTTCGTCATGATTTCACAAAATTCTGTTCTTCGATCAGGGTCAGTTAATTGGTGTACCATTTTAATTTTGTATGGATGATACCTGTTCCTCTTCAAAAGTCTCCACACCGTAGAAGGAGGCACCTCACAAACATTCGCGATGGAATAAGTAAACTGTTCAGGATTTACTACCCTCTCACCAATTATTTACACTTTCTGTTCTTCCAGGGCTTTTAGAGATTGTTGACGTGGTATCTTTCTACTAGTAAATAAAACCTAAAACTAAATGAGAATATTCTAACTGAACAATGATGTTCATTGTCGTACTGACATTTTTTGTGGTTTTAGTAAACAAAAAATAACTCAACAAACCTTATCGGTTTGTTGGAATTGCCATATCTGACATATAAAAATGGATGTTTGTTGGTTGGTTGATTGGTTGGTAAGTGATAAACTTCTACATCGCTCAACCGATCGTGATGAAACTTGACATGTATATGTAATTTTTCATAGAGAAGGTTTTTAGGCTATCAATTTTTCTGTAACTCGCCACAAGATAGCACTGTAGAATAATTTTTGAAAGCACTGTTCTATAACGCTGCGCAGGCCTAAGTTCGTAGATTCTGATTCTGTCAAAACATTGAAACAGCAGCGATACAGCAACATAGTACTAATCAGTACTACAACTACCAAATTCTATGCGGGAGAAGCCGCGGGCAACAACTAGTCGCATATAAAAAGAAATATTTCTAGAAATATTGATATTAATATGTTTGTCTTCAGCAAATGATTGAATTTTCCGCCATTTTCTAGCAGCTGAAGATATTGACTTCAAATTCTAGGGTTATCATGAGCTTCAAAATGATGCGTCACAAGATCCCCCCTTTTCATCTGATTTTTTTCCCAAATGGCGCCCAGTCGCCATCTTGAAGGTTTCATCTGTCAATTTTACTTCAAAATGAAGTATTCATGCATTAATTTCATCATCTAAAATTTCAATTTTTTGAGTTGATCCGTTCAGAAAATAAAAAGGACGGGGGGCACATTAAAAAATGCACTGTATGAGAAATGTTCACTTATCTTCGGAAGTATACTACAAATAATGAATGAGGTAAAAGTTATTTGAATGTTTGTATCTGCTAGATTGCTTTGTTGCGATAATCAAAGTTCTCCTTGAATTATCAAACCTAGACATGCACTCCGTGGTTCATCCGAATATTTAAGATCGGTCAGTTCACTTTTACAAAGTATTGTGAATAATAATGAATGAGAAATATATTTTCACTTTTCAGGTATGAAAGTAGAAATGAACCTTGATCGTCCTTTGAACGACAGAGTAGTATCTGTGAAAGTGCGGTGCCAGAATTGTACCATACCGAGATATGAATACCTCGACCTAAACAAAACTTACAGAATTGCTGTGTGCTCATTTCTAAGAAAAGGTGGTAATGGATTCACGGTGTTAAGCGACAATTTGAAGAATGTTCGGGTAGGTCAGCTAGATATCGACGCTGTGATGGACTACTTAGCCCACCGCAGTCCGATATACCAAGAAGAAGAAGGAAGACTCGTCCTATCCGGGGAGATGAAGAAGAGAAGAATACAAACTGGTAGTGTGTAGGTACCAGTGAGAGCGATGAGAGAAATATCTAGGTAATTTTGTACAGAATCCTTGATATTACGTAAATGATACCAAACAGTAATCTGAGTGTTATGATTTTCCCTAACCGATATGGAGAAGTGAATTTACCATCCATTTGACATTCTTTAGATCTGATACCATTGGAAAATGTACTAGTTAATAGTTTTTCAGCTCGTGATTTACAAACAAACTTTATTAATTTTGAAGTTTCAAAATGAAAAAAACAATGTTTTTAGCTCATTCAATAATATTATTTCGAAAACAAACTAAAAACATCTAAAACAATTGCTTTTGGTTATGAGCGAAACTTCACGACTTTATGTCACTGGTGTCTAAATTACTGTTTATTTTCATAAAATGCTAAGCTACCAAAATAACTACATGGGTTGGTCACCGGCATATTGTCAATTATTCTCCAAGTAATAAATTTCTTTTGATAAGTTTCTTGGTTGGAATTGACTTAAACAGGTTTTAGTATTATTCATAACTTCTTCTAAGTATTATTTTTTATGTAATTATTCAATATCTACTAATCTACTATTAAATTCTGTGAGCAAAAGATTTGGCGTGGCGTATCCTTTTGTCGCCTTGAGAAGAAACTTTTGTTGATAAAAAAGTTGAAAATCATCTACTTTCCTTAGTTACTATCAATTTCTGTAACTTCAAATTTCTAACTTTGATATCATAAAAACTATTTTCTCTTCAAGTTTACTACTTATACACTTAGATACATCTTTTCGTAATATTTGTGTAAATACATATTTAACCTCACTTATGTCTAAACATATAAATTTTTCGTTAGCATCATTTCATACCCGTAACTAGGTTTACAGCAATAATTCTCAGACTTTACATTATTTCTAAATATTTACAATTTTATGACGTATCTCCCAATTTTATTTAGCAGATATCGTATTGATTCCATTTGACAAAAATTTCCATTTCCTACCGATTATCTATTATGTGAAAATTGAAAATTTTTGTACACAAATGCAGAGGCGGAGCTCCATATAGGTGGACAACACTTCAAAGAAGGTCTGATCTGAGTTTTATAAAGCATCAAAATTTGCTGACGTTTGTTACAGTTTTCTGGTTCGGAACTCTTGAGAAGCAGCCTCCGTAATTTCACCCAATATGCCAGTAGTACGCAGTGAAATACAGCTGCTGCGAGGTTCAACTTGATATACCTCGAACTACACTTAAAAACTTTGCACAAATATATCAACCAATTGAATCACAATAGTGTTACAAACCAGCTGATGTTAGCAATGTCTGTTGTCTACTATAATGAATGAAAATATAGACATGTATCCACATGAACTGAAGATTTTGCAATGTTTTCAGGTCAGAGCTGACACACAAACACGAATAAACCTGTTTTTGCATTTTCCCGATGCTGGACCACTCTGCATTTCCAAATGTAAAATCTTTCTCGAATGACACATTTTGTTCAGTCAGTTACCAATTAATGTCTTCTACACCGTTCTACGATCACATTCAAACAACTCGCGAACAAAAAATCAGTTGAGTCCATATAAGCTTTGAACACAGAGTACAAGTTGGGAATCGTAACTTTTCAAACTCAAATTTCTCCCAACTAGGCTTCTAAATATCCCGTTACTTCATTACAGCTATTTAATCGTTCTGATTTTCAACGCTCCAAAATGAAAATTTCATTAAGCAGACGTTCCCGATTTTCCTCTGGTAATAAAAAAGGGAACATCTCCACGGTCGATTTGGAAAATGTGTTCCATGACGGATGTGCCTGTTGGCTGCATCGAATCACGTTGTTTATTCATTCGTGCAACATTTGCCATATCCAAAAGAAGATCAAATTCTAAATGACTTTATCCTCTTTGATATCTCCCATTGTTATGTCCCATTTCACTTTGGCTAAGCGAATAATTTTTTAAACAAAAATAAACTATCAATGATCGTCCGAATCCTGTTTTGGCTTGTTCAAATTCTGTAATAACAGACGTACTATATTGTGAAGTGTTATTCTACTACTTCATTTTCATTCGAGTTGATTTTAGAGACGATATAACAACAGGTTTGAGATTGATAAATCACTTAAGGATATCGAAAATTTATTTTGGAAATATAAATATGTATGTATATACCTATATATCATTTCGCCAAAATATTTTTTAGAGAAGCTAATACCCTCCATCCTTCGAAAGTTGCTCTATTTATGAAAAAAACATAATATTCTTAGTGTTATGAAATCACCAAGACATCTTGAATTCAGACTAGCATCATGTATTGATAAAAATTAAACCGAGAGATAGTGTTTGGCTTTTTCGATCCCATGACAATGAGAAATAAACTAGGCGCCTAGCTGAATTGAAGAATAATATCAAAATATGGCTTTCCCACTCTCTCACCCAGATAGTATTCGGGCTCTTGGATTTCGAACAGTGAAAGTGTTTTGCAAAAAGTAATTCTCCAAATCATTTGTATGCTCTGGATTCCTGATTGATTTTACTCTTCTCACACACAATCGGCCTTGTTTTCTTCAACGTTTTGTGAGCACTCAATCAGATCCTGTTATACTCTCGATTATTTTTTGTAAGCTTCTGTTGAAGGAAAGAAGACAAGCTACTAGTCCAGTTTCATAAACTGAAGGAAATAAACATATTTTCAAGACATGATCAGAGTAAGATTTGAATCAGCCATGGAAATGTATCTTCCTTCCCGGATAGTAAAAGTTGATATCAATTGAAACCTACCCCTTATACCATAACGGACCTCTGAGATGAATGTTATGTATACATCTGATTCCAAGTATCGTAGTACAGTAGTATACTATAAGTTGTGGTTCATTTTGTATCAGAAATAGAATCCAGAAATATTGGATTGTGCATCGCAGCAATTTTTACTTTCACCAAATACCTTTTCTTTCTTCACCATTCCATAAAAATATAAGATGGAGTAAGCACGCAGAATATGTTGCGAATAAAATAAGGTTTCTACTGAACAAATTTAAGTTTTTCAAAACGATTTTTGACATAGCACAGCTACGAACATTATATTTCAGTCTAGTACAGTCCCATATCAACTATGGAATAATTGTGTGGGGAGGTATTACTGATAATCATCTCGGGGTTATAAATGTCACTCAAAAATTTCTCATTAAAATTATTTTCAATAGAGATTATACCTATCCGTCTGAAATACTTTTCGCAGAATCTAAATTTTTTACATGTAGACATCTATATTTTCAAAGTCTCGCTATGTATCATAGGAAATATGAAACAAAATTATTGTCTGTGGATCAGTTGCACGATACCAGATTCAAGCACAAATCCTCAAAAATTCCTAAAGTAAGTACATCTCGAAGTCAAAGATTTCTCACATACTTGTGCCCTATTGCCTATGCAGAAGTTCCATTCGAAATTAAGTCTATTACAAGTGATAACAGATTTAAAAAAGAACTGAAATTATGGCTAACGAATATAACAATAGGTAAGATAAATGAAATATTGGAACGAAAAAAATGAAGTAGTGATACAGAAAGAAAAATCACATGTTCTCACAAAAAATAATGTAAATATTTAAAGTATAAAAGGAAATAATTTCACAATTCATGATATACACCAGCTTCATACTTATATTTGAACTTTTATTCATATGTTCTAATCCACATCTGTCATTATTGTTCACCATATTCTGTACTGTCGCAATCTTTCTGAACAAGGACTTACCTTATAGAATAGACAGCGACTCTACAGAAGTGCAGTGAACAAGGACCATATTAAGAACAGAACAGTGAATGAAATATAAGATATATGACTTCCATTTGCTATACGTATATGGTGTATGAATGATGAATGTTATGACCGATAGTTTAGTTTGTAATGTTTGTTCACTGATTCATGTTCATGATATCTTTATTTATTTTTCCCTTTCAATTGACATCACACACAAAACGTGTCAACTTGATTTATTGTTTCATTTTAATTTCTTAATTTTTTTTGTCATACACAAGCTCTATGAGCTTCAGTGGCTTGCCATGTTTATTTCTTTTTTTTGTTTATATGTAAATGTATTCAATCTTATGAAATAAACATTATTATTATTATTCCAATGACTCGCAAGTTATGTTTTATTCGAGAGACTATAATGAACAAAAATTTCCACCTCACCTCACCCTACTTAAATTGCTTGAATTTCTATTATTAGAAGACTTCCAAACAGCCATTTGTCTTTTTATCGTGAAGTTACTGGCTTTTAGAATAGGTCAAATGCTTTGGGTGGATTAGGTGAGATTACTGTTCATTTTATTGACGTTTCTTTTTATACTTGGCCTAGGTAGGTTGCATCTACAAGAGTATGATAACTCTCTTTCCGTTTTCCTGAAATTAGAATGATGATGAACATCATTTCTAGGTTTTCGCGATCATCTGCTTTATTGAAATACTTTAACGCTTATGGATTTCGAAGGCTTCGTTTCACAACTTCACTTGATATAGTACTGAAATTTTTGTATATCCCAAATATCAATTTTCCCCATGCTTCTGTACCCTTTCATTTATATGTCTGTTCTAATGTTCACACTTACACAATTGTACAAGCAGAGTGAATAGTGAAGTTCGAGGTGTACTGTGTTGAACCTCAAACCGATGAGCAGCCACAGTCTGTCGCGTATTTCTGATATGTACCGCTCTTGATGAAATCAAATGTGCCAAGTCACTTGAACACTTTGTTTATAAAGCATCAAAAGTTGCTCAGGTGTGTATAGTTTTCTGATTCGGTAAAGTTTGCAAGTGAAGTTCGCGTCTTCAATCAGACGAATGGCTCTTCTCTGGATGACATTCAGCAGCTTCAGGTTATGCTCAGGGGCGGAGCTCAATACATGAGAACACTACTCTGAAAAAGTTCTGATCTGCTGTTTATAAAGCATCAAAAGTTGCTCAGGTGTGTACAGTTTTCTGATTCGGTAAATTTTGCAAGTGAAGTTCGCGTCTCCAGTCAGACGGATGGCTCTTCTCTGGATGACATTCAGCAGCTTCAGGTTATGCTCAGGGGCGGAGCTTAATATATGAGAACAGTACTCCG